TGTATAAACCAAAATAATTTTTGTGTTTTAAAGCACTGTATAGTATAGTATACTGTATACAATTACAATCTCAAAGAACAGAACATTTCACCTCATTTTGCTTAGAAGGTTTGATCCCTATATTTTAGTTAGGCCGTCAAAGTCATTGACAAAATGTATGCAAGATGAAACCCGGAGATTACTGTAGGTCTGACCGCTTAGACCCCCTGGACACCTGTCTCTTATACACATCTAGATGTGTATAAGAGACAGAAGGCAAGACTTTCTTTAAACCTTGTTTAGCAGACCCACCACTCGCCAATAATGATGATTTTGAATATAAATAATATTTATTTTTCATCAATTAACGCAGTCACCGCTACGAAAAAATGGAAATTTTAGGAAAAAATAAAAGTTTTTATTGCACTTGCCACTGCCTTAAAATCTCCAAAAAATGAAGATGTATATTTCTACTTAATTATTTATATAAATTTAAAGCATTTAACCATCCCATTACTACACTGTTTACATTCAACAATAACATTTTATTTTTATTTTCTTCTCCATCTGGATGTTTTTGGCAAAACCATAGAAAAATTAAACATAATTTTATTTTTATTTTTTTTTCTGCCCTCCTCTGACGATTTATTAAACAATAAGGAATAAAAGAAAGTCTAACCTAATGAAGATAACATGGCCCTAGGCTATTTCTAATAAATATATAAAATGATATTTAGGAGATGATATAATGTCTTGTGATTGATGTGTGCATTTTAACAAATAATTTTGTAACTTTTTATTTTGAGACACTATTTGGCCAACATTTTAACCTTAATTCATTTTTGAAATTTAGAAATACTCACTATCTACTTTGATTTTGTAGCATATGGCTTAGTCACCAATATGAGATGGGGTTACACCATAGGCTTTGCAATATTTGTACATACATAAAATCCGTAAAACTATTCTTTCTTGTTTTTAGTGATTTAATCTGTTGTTTACATTGTTTAGCACCGAAAAACAACACATTTCTGTTGTTCTACAGTGCTTTGCATTAGTAAACAGCAGATTTTTATTTTTTTATTTTTTTTGTAGTCTTAAGTAGTGCAAGGCTTACCATTTAGAATTAATTAGATTATTTCAGATGTGTTTGTGGTGCAATGGTTAGTGATGTTGCATGCAGACCTGAAGGTTGCTGGTTCAAATCTGTGGAGGTTTTTTTTTTTTTTTTGTATATTTTGCAAAAAAACGTAAAAAATTTTAAAAAACCACAAAAAAAAAAAAAATTTTTCTGTGACACCCCTCTGCAACGCCTTCCCTGTCCGTGGCACCCCTCTGCGACGCCTGCCCTGTCCGTGACGCCCCTCTGCGACGCCTGCCCTGTCCGTGGCGCCCCTCTGCGACGCCTGCCCTGTCCGTGGCGCCCCCTCTGCGACGCCTGCCCTGTCCGTGGCGCCCCTCTGCGACGCCTGCCCTGTCCGTGGCGCCCCTCTGCGACGCCTGCCCTGTCCGTGGCGCCCCTCTGCGACGCCTGCCCTGTCCGTGACACCCCTCTGCGACGCCTGCCCTGTCCGTGGCGCCCCTGTGCGACGCCTGCCCTGTCCGTGACGAGTGCCTGTCCGTAACGCTTGCCTGTCCGAGGTTTGAACCTATGTACCATACTCTAGGAAGCAACGCCTTTACCTCCAAGCCAACTGTCTCGTTGAAATACTATGTTGATTTTTAAGTGTTAAACGACACTAAATGTTTACTTTAAAAAAAAATTTGGTTTTCATGAGACTTGAACCTGATAACAGCATTACAAGTCCCACAGCACTAACCGTTGCTCTATATGTGGATCTGAAAGATTGCGTTGATTTATAAATGTTAAACGACACCACTGTTACTTGGTTTAAAAAAAAAAAAAAAAATATATATATATTAGTGAGACTTGTACCATGCAACGCAGAGTCATAGTATCATAACACTAACCACTGAGCTAACCAAGTGGATCTAGGAGAATGTGTTAATTTGTGAATCTTGAACTTCTTGTCTAAACTAGCTAATGAATATTCATATAACAATGCAAATTTAGAGACATGTTTGTATACCGCCCTCTATAAGTCACCCTTCAATTCTTTTTAAATTATTTACTGAATATTCATATTTATTATGCAAATTTTTGACCATTTGCTTGTGTAGCGCCCTCAATTGTATCCTTATTCTTAATTTGTTTAAATTTGTAAGATAATGGATTGAGACCACTTTCGCGTGATATTGCGATTGTCTTATTGCTGATTAATTTCCACCGTAAACTGGTGTCGTAATTAGCTACTGAATATTAATTTTCCTTTGTAGCGCCCTCAATTTTCACTGTTTTGTTTGAATTTTAAGACCAGTTTTGCATGTTATTGTAATTGTCTTATTGCTCATTAGTTTCCACCCTAAACAGGTGTCATAATTAGCTACTGAATATTCATTTTCGTTTGTAGCGCCCTCAATTTTTTCACCACTTTGTCTGAATTTGAGACCAGTTTTTCATGTTATTGTGATGTAGCGCCCTCAATTTATTGTGATTTTCTTATTGCTGATTAGTTTCCGCCGTAAAGAGGTGTCATAATTAGCTACTGAATATTCATTTTTCGTTTGTATCGCCCTCAATTTTTTCACCACTTTGTCTGAATTTGAGACCAGTTTTAGGTTTTGCATGTTATTGTGATGTAGCGCCCTCAATTTATTGTGATTGTCTTATTGCTGATTACTTTCCACCGAAAACAGGTGTCATAATTAAATATTCATATTTACTATGTAGCGCCCTCAATTATATCTTTACAGGTACTTGTTTAAAATTTATATAATTCAGATCAGACCGCATGTTATTGTGATAAATTGGTGTCAACTACTGAATATTCAAATTTACTATGTAGCACCCTGAATTTTATCTTTACAGGTACCTGTACTTGTTTAAATTTATATACTGTAATTCAGATCAGACTGTGCATGTTGTGATTGTTATGTTGCTGATTAATTCCACTTTAAATTGGTGTCAACTACTGAATATTCATATTTACTATGTAGCGCCCTCAATTATATCTTTACAGGTACTTGTTTAAAATTTATATAATTCAGATCAGACCGCATGTTATTGTGATAAATTGGTGTCAACTACTGAATATTCAAATTTACTATGTAGCACCCTGAATTTTATCTTTACAGGTACCTGTACTTGTTTAAATTTATATACTGTAATTCAGATCAGACTGTGCATGTTGTGATTGTTATGTTGCTGATTAATTCCACTTTAAATTGGTGT